GACTTATTTCTTTTTCTTATATGTGAGATTGTTTTATATTAATGGAATGGGTAATGATTTGATATTCAATATGACTATGAATTCGATATTATTAAATTACTGAGTAAGATTCTTAATTAATAATAATGTAAAGGCAACGTGGAACACCTTCGAGAATGCACAAACTTTGGCAGAACTTATTATCTTTTATATTATCGGTAGCAGAGTTGTCTAATAAAAGTTCCAAAGAATCGCTATCGAATCATTTTCAGACCATTGAAAACCGGGATGATCTAAAGAACCATCAGGTCGAATATTCTTTTATATTAGTTTATTTTTTGTTATATTATTACTAGCTAGTTTGGATGTCATTCAATTAAGTTGTTAGTCTGAATAATTAACGTTAAACTGGCAAAACAGACCCTATAAATCAATTTAGAAAATAATGTATTGAGCGTCCAAAGCATGTATAACTTCAATATATCCAAAGTGTACTTACACTCTCCTAATCGATCTATCTGATTATATCTGCAGTCGAGACAAGAATAACATGGCTCTGATGATGACGGCATGATTATAGTAATCGGAACGGACATTTTAATTTGCATATATCATTATCTTTGTGGTTATCTGTGATTCAGATATGGTCTTGTTCGTATTTTTATCCATACATTTAATTTTATTAGAAAAGTTTATCTGTACCATTTCCTTTAATCTTATTATGACCCAAACTTTAGTTCCCATGAATCATCGAGTGTTGTTTGTAAGTGGCTGATGACAATGAAACTGGGTTGGTCAGTTACAGTCTAAACGACCTATTCGAAAACCAGTAGAACAATAGTTAGTTAGACTAGAACTGAGATGACGCCCACAAGCTTCTGTGTACTAAATGCGTCATCCATCACAAATGCCTTAGTATTTGCTACATTAATTAAATGAGCCCATTTTAGTTACTTCGTAGTATTTTATTTATAAATAGTACAAAACAAAGTCGCATCCCGCTATTTATACCCTGAGATCTTTTAGACTAAACAACGGATTTTAATGTGGTCTTCATCAGAATGATTCAAGATGAAGGTTTATATGTAATACAAGACCACGCGAGCGAAGCCACGGGCGGAAAGCTATAAATAATCTACGAACTGAACGTTTTTACTTTATTGTATAGCTTCCACGCAAACGAAAATGCTTATGAACTCCATTGTAGGTGTAATAGATAAAGTGACTTGCTCATTTAGCACGACATTCATGTATAATTGCATAAAGTACAAAGGCTAAACACGATAGAAGAAATCCTTAGATGCTTATAAGTAATCTTGTTTATGTTATAATCTTCCATGTTCGTAAACTTCCTCATGGATAATGTAAACAAACACATTATGATTTCTTTTTGAGATGTTGTTCCTAAAAGTTCATAATTATTTCAAAAATTAACGTCTAATAAGAGCTATTTTTTTTCCAACCGCTTAAAACATATAAAATATAAAAATTTATGCCTTCAATATATTTTTCTTTTTAAATTGTCTTGTTTTTATTTACTATTTTTCTTGCTGATAAAACACTATTCATTTAATATTATGATTGAATATACAAGAATTGAGTATTGAGTAGCTCGGTGGCGTAGTGGATAAGCGCTGCGGCCCGCGATCGTAGTCGTTAAGCAACTTTCGCAAGGGTCGGTCACAGGATGGGTGACCAAAAAAATTATTATCTCGAGCTACTCCGTGCTTCGGAAGGCACGTTAAGCCGTTGGTCCCGGCTGCATTTGCAGTCGTCAATACCCTCCAATCCGCATTGGGCCAGCGTGGAGGGTCATGGCCCATCCTCCTTAACCATCCATAAGGAAGGCCTGAGCCCCTGCAGTGGGGATGTAAAAGGGCTGGTGGTGGTGGTGGTGATACAAGAATTATTATTCATATGTATAGACTATTCTATTGTTCCATTCAAGAGATGATTTAATATCTACCTACATCTATACCTTATTTTCACATATAACAATAGGTTTATTGATTGTACAAGCAATAAACACTGATAGTTCGGTAAAAATAAAAAATAAATAAACTGAATTTCAAATAAAATATTCGATAGAACTGAATTTCTCTAGACATTGGGTACACCAATAGGAATGATGAACCCTTGAGCTGTAAAAAAAAAGTTATATCGATCAAAGCCTATGGTCAGTTTTTTTTCTCAAGAACTGGGAGACATTTTTAAAATTTAACTCGGGCTGTTAAAAAGTTAAGATAATTATAGCTAAACTGTTTTTGATCCTTTCTCGACGCTTACCTCATGCACTTGTGTATGTAATAACGTAAGCACCATAAATACAAGTGTAAATTAAGATAATCCACTAATCCCATCCATTGTTATCTAAATGACTGAGTATTACAAGAGACTTATTATTGCACTTTTGCTTGTTTATAACTACGACAGATGCTTAGAATTCTTCTTTTTATCCATAAAGGTATTCAAAACGTGCGAGGCACACCTCTGGTTTAAGAGTTTGGAAAAACTATCTTCTGATTATGAATAAAAAAAATGTTATATTTAGAGTGCCAGGGACAAAGTGGATTTTTTAAACATGATTTCAGTAAGACATTGTAAAGCAAAATTGACCAAATATAATAATATTTTATATATAGGTATGTAATTAAGCACAATATATTCTATACACACTTTTTATTATGATGAGAACTATGACCTAATGTCCGATGCTTTATTGCATTTTCAAGTCTATACTAACGTTTGACAATGGCCTCGGTTACATAAATAATTAGAAAGAATACATTTAGTTTATTTGGATTTAGTTTGAATATTAACCGAAAATAGTTCAAACCAGACAGCCTTGTCTTTGTTTCCATTGTTAACAAATGGTACCACAGGGTTATTGGTACATATTTAAGTCTATACCCTACTAATGTCATATGTGTTATGAAAATGACTTTCTAAAATCATAATATAACATCCACCTAAATAAAGAGGAACATTCATTTAACCAAGACTTATCTGAAAGCCCTTTGTTTTTTTTTTGCCTGCCCATTGTTATATTTTTTCAATTGTTTGGTCGATAAACTTTGGACAGTCAAAATTCCAGACAGAAACAAGCGCTCAATAATGACTTAAGGGCTGTTTAATAAGCATATCTCATAAATCACTTCATCCAACCCGCATAAAGAAGGCTTCTCTTCAAAGAACACTCGCCAAATCGACCATACTGAACCCATGACCTACTTTTTAAGGTTGTCGACCGTGTGACGTCACGGCGTGTCCGCGCCTCCCCTTCCGCAGCACGTCACCCGGGGGTGTGTTCCTTCCTTCCCTCTCGCCGAGGTCACATGCCATCCGTATTTGGAACTGAGTGGATGTGTGCTTCGAATTAAAATCTATTTTTAAAATTTTAACGCAGTTCTTGTGATATTTACTTAACGTGCCAACGTAGGTGTAATGACTATTTTAGGTAAGGTTCTATTTATTATCTTTTTACTCATGTTATGTAACCATTTTCACGTAACCTTCATAGTCATAGCCGTAATCAACGAAATGTAGATCTGACTCGTACACGGGGGAAGTTCGTCCTTGAATTTTGAGCAGCGTAATATTTTTTATTTCTGAAATCGGTGGTTAGTAATTTGCGTCAATATCGTCATGTTTCATAAGACTTTATATTGATGTTCTTGAGGCAGAAAACCCATTTAGGTAATTATGAATTTTTCATAAAATTATACATAATTGAACGATAACTATTTGTTTTAATTTTTTTAGTCTTCATTGTTATGCTTGAATAAAATCTATGTGATTTCCGACTATATGAAAATAAAACTTGTAAATATATCTTTATCCAAAATTTATAGTTAGTAATATACTATAATCAATTTTATTTTGTCAGTTGACCTAAATCACATTATAATTGATGAAAATTCGAGCAACCGAAAGCTTTACTGCCTAGTTTTACTTATTAGCTTAATTTCGTGTATTTCGTGAATAATATTTTAAGAACTCCGTTCTGTCACGCAAGTCTTGTCGCGTAATACATGAATATTTTAACTTTAAAGTTGAAGGTCTTTTGAAGTTATGACATTTTCTCAAGTAATTACTTCTCTCGATTATAGATACTTGTGTTAGATATAGCATTGTAAACAGTTCATTGTGCCATAGGAAGACCTTAGTTGAAGATATCCCTTGTTGATCGTATCCAGAACATCAGGATATACGAGTATAACGAGGTTTTATGTACCTGATATAGGAACAACAGGTAATATAATTGGTTGGACACTGAAGCCAAATGATAACTATGTGCTACCAAAGACATACAGTAGAAAATTGAGCAAGTTAAAGGCAAAATGATCTAATTATGTGAGACAACCTACAGACTAGAAGGAGGAAAGGACAATGTCGAATGCTGGACAAACAAATACTGATTAAGAGGTCTTTAGTTGACTACTTGACTACAGTCTGATTTTAAATTAGATTAACTAAGGTGACAGTTCAATTCAGCATATATATATTTTTTTATGTTTTCAAGCCTTTGTTTTGGTGTTGTAACATAAGTCTATTAAGTTATTCATTAATTCATTATATACTATGACTCATTAGATGTTTTGTTCGACAGGCCCCTAAAACTGGTTTTTAATGTCTTCATGTCCTGCATTAGATTGTTTTGTTTATTTTTCTAATGAAATAATTTAACTTAAAAAATACCTTTATGTTTTTCAAAACACACAAATTGTATTTGGCTTTTTTTCTAATCAAACTGTTTTATATAGATCGCTATAATTTTCTAACTATAATGTAAACTAAAAACGAATAAATGAAATGTGAACGAATAATCATTCATGGATCACACTTCCTATCATTTAGGAACTGGTCGATAAATTATTCACGACACAATTTTTTATTTGTGATAAAATGGCAACCCATTTTCGCTTAGCTTAAGTTCAGTTTAGTCCACATCTTATTAAAAATCAGAGTTTGTTTTTTAACGTCTCACATCTATTCTGTCCGCAGATCCGTCGCGGTGCGTGATGCGCACGCCTGCGTGCGCGGGCGGCGCGGCGGCGGTGACGCGGTGGTCGCAGTCTACGCCCACTCATGCCGCTCATGCGGCTGCAACACACACGCCGGACTTAGACCATGACAACATCACTTACCCTTACGATGACGAGATCAATCAACGCTTTGCAATATGGTAAGTCAACTTTTTGGGTTCCATAAGGGAATGCAAGCAATCTCGTTCTTGCGAGATCTCGGCCTTTTTTAGCGAGAACGGTCGCTGTCTAAAAATGGGCCAGAACTCGCGATTTTAACGAGATTGCACTCAAGCACAAAAGTGGTTTATTATAAGTGCGTAAGCGTGAATTTATGCGAATCCAAAGTCAAGCGTAAAGTCGACGGGCCAAAGGCGAAGTTTTACAATTTTAAAGTACTTTTGTTTCCGAAAGGGCCTTTTTCAGTGACTGCTTATCTGACCAGCATAATAAGGAGAAAATAAGCAGTCGATTCTTTGGACATTTTGTGCTTCTTAAGAAGCTACTTTCAAAATTATTCGTAATAATGGCATGTAAGGTGAACTGCAGAAATCTTTAAATTTTTATTATATATTGTAAATTTATTTTGTATTTCTTATTCTTATTAGATCTCTGAGTATGCATAGTTTTCTTTAATCAATAATAATATCACAGTTTTTTTTATTAATTCAACTTGCATACATAATTTTTGATTTCTTGTAGTTTTGTTATAAAATAACTGTTTTATAAAACACTTTTTTTATATTAGTAGAGAACTTTGGTGGCTTATTTCATTTCGTGTTTGGAAAACATACGTCTTTGAGTACTTAAAAGAATAGTACCTTGATAACTAACCTAATTGAATGAATTTATCGCTTCTGCATGATAAATTTCATGAAAATTGTTGGAGCCGTTTCCAAGACTCAGATTATAATACAGAAATCGCTCGTTTAAAAGTACCAGATAAAAAAATATGATTATGTCAAACAATATTAAACTCATAAAATATCATTGACAATACCCGTAAAAATAAATGTTTATTTCATAATAGCTATGATTGCTAAAATTTTTTCTAATTTATTCAATTATAGCGATTATTTGCAACAATAAAACTATTTTTTATAAATATTATGAAATCGCGCATTTACTATATAAATTAGTCTTTAATCGTTACAAATTCATTTTTGGCATATGGCTGGCTCTGAACTCAGTTTTACAAAATATAGAATTGCAATGATCCCTTGATTAAGGATTTGCAAATATGTTTAAAAAATATAATGCGTTAAAACTATTTAAGGATAAACGATCAATATGATTTGAACCCAGTGTTATCAACAGTGGTCGGAATTAGGTAGAGTTATTCATGTACTTACACTGATTTCATACAGCGAAAGAAGAAAGTGGATATGCCTCAAATCCCGAGATTAATTTTAAAGAGCAGAAAAAATCCCGTGATTTTTTAAATAAAAAGTTATTTACTTTTACACAATTTAAACTACTGCACGCACGACGTTGCCAAACTTACATCAATGAAAGAAAGAAATAAAGAAAGAAGAAATAAAGAAATCCCAGGAAGGTCCACATTAATATCAACATTTCGATGCAAGTACATAAATAACTCTACCTAATTCCGACCTCTGGTTATCAAGTTTAAATGAAAAGTCAATGCGTTTTTAAGAGGTTGGTAATTACCTTTATATTTCTAATATGTTGTATTTTAATGAAAAAGCAGTTTATTATAAACTGTTTAAGATTATGAAATAAAAAATAATTCTTTATCAAGAAGCAAATATTGAATGATAAAAGTACATTGAATTGCACAAAGGTTTCAAGGTAAACAAATATTCACAGACAACAAAAACGCAGTCAGTAAGGGCGGTCACACTTTGGACTAGTGTTCGTATCTATATGAATAAATAAATAAAAATATGGCAATATAAAAAATCGTCCATAGTTTATACATTTCAGACGCTTGATAATTTAATCAACACTGCTCAAAATAAGACCTTATAAATAGTAATATTTTTGATAATTTGTATGCCTTTAATAGACTCCAAAACTACTTGACCAATTTTTTTAACACATACTGGAAGCTACATTATTCACGGACAAAGGATATCGTTTATGGAGGGCGAAGTAACGTAAAAACAGCTAGTATTAAATAAAATTATTGACATTGATCTTAAATGTATGTACGAATTAAATTCGTTTTTAATACATCTAAAGTGTGAAAGGCCTTACAGATACCAAATGTATTCAAAAGGAATTTATGTCGTATTAGCCTTCGTCTTGAGATAACGCTAGTCTGCAAACAGATGTGTACATTTTGCTTATAAATATTGTGTTCTGGCTGCAATTTGCTAACAAAGTGAAAATACGTTTTCCGCAGAAAAAAATAATTTGTAAGTTGAGGATGAATCTTATACACCAGTTATTTTAGCACCAATACTTATTCTGTTTTATCCTGCTTATTTTAATCCAAGATTCGACGGTCTTCACCTCTTATTTTTCCAACGATATGTTAAGTTTGCTTTGCCATTTCACAACATGAAAAATTCCTCTGATAACAGTTTTAAAGTGTTTGTTAGAATTAACTTAACTACCTTTAAGTAGTATAACGCCATTCTAGAATGAATGACATTTATACAATTGAAAGTAAAATCTTATAATTAACCTATGATAATATGTTCAGTAGTATTTAATATAATATAAAGCGTTACCCTGCGGAAAATTCAATGTAATAGATGCAAAAACCACAATCTGCTTTCACAAGCAAGACCATTTGATATTGGAATATACTCTGTATTTTTATATTAATTCTAAAATCTAACTTTTCAGGCATGGCGACATTAGTACTTTGGAAGTGGACGCCATCACCAACAGCACCGACGAAACCCTCCTGGAATGTAATGCAGTAAGCGAGCGTATTCTGGCCGCTGCCGGTAGCGAGCTCAAAGACGAGATACTCACTAGAGCTTTGGGTGAGTCCCTAGATTCATACACCGATGTTACTTTAAAGTATCGAAGTGAAAATGCTTTTGTTATTCAGATTTTTTACCTCGTAAAACTGGAATTAACAGTTGACGTGTAGTATTAGGCAGCATGTCCTAACCATTTCTGGTCAACAGACCCCTAGGATAGACAGCATGAGATCAGTAAATCCCCCGCTTTAAAAAAAAAAAAAAAAAACATTAAATATGGGATCGTTTATTTGTATTACAAAGAAATGCTCCTTATTACGTGTTAAGGACTACGGACATATGCTCGCAAACCCCCAGAGGTCTACTAACCACAGGTAAGGACATCCAGCACGCGTATAATAAATAAATAAAAAAATCATTCCAACATACAATAAACGAAAATAAAATGTTCGTATTGGAAATCTATACCGTAGAAAAGCCGTTTGCCTCAACAGAGGAGAACTAGATATTACCGTGTACGTACTATGTAAATCGATTATTTATCCGTGTTACTCGGTTCAGTTATACAAGTTTGAAGTGTCAAAACCAGTTTAAATAACTGCATTAAGATACATCCAATTCCTGTCTAATTTCAGCGTTTGAAGCGATTCAGAAATGAAAAGTAAGAGTTTTCATTAAGAATAAAGAGTATCTTAAAATTTTCGGAGAATGCTGATTATTATCTAACAATACTACTCATTCCATGTCTAATGGGAACGTTAATAGGATAATGATAATTATGACGATGGATGACGGTTACAGAATGTCGCGTGGGCGAGGTGGTGGTGACGAGTGGATATGCGTTGAGTTGTCGGGTGATACTGCACACCGCTTGCCCCGCATACTGCCCACAGAGACCAGCTCAAGCCACAGCAGCTCTACACAACTGCTACAAGTCAGTACTATATCTCAAAAACCAATATTTCTCAATTGATTTTAAACACAGATAACCTCTTATAGATATCGCATTATGACTATTTTGTTAAATAAATAAAGATGAACTGCGGCGACGCTATTGGCTAGTATAAAGACACGAATTCCGTAGTGATGGGAACCATAATGTATTAAAGGCATGTCAATAATTGATCGATATTCTACGTTAGTATTAGATGTCATTAAAATATATTTGATTAAATTTATTTTTATTTTATTTGCATTTATAGCATTATAAACTAATTGATAGACAAAGCATCCAACAGCAAGGCTTCAATGAGCGCGATCACTCAATAACCAACTTTCAATCAGTCGGTGAGAATAACTTTCAAAAATACAAAGGAACACGTTTAAATAAGTTAAATTTCACATTTTCACTTCACAGCACTGGTTTACCTGCTACACTTCTCAATTAAAGCTATGATAAAATTGAGCACTGAGACACAAAACTTACATAAAAATGAGTGTAACGCCACCGCGCTCATATAAAAATATTAAGTTAAATCTTTAAAAAAGGGTTAATTTTGACGAAAAATGTAAAAGATGTAAACTTTAGACTTTTAAATAACGAACAAGTTTTTAAATGGGATAAAAATTATTAATGGAATCTAAAAATACAAGACATGACAAATATTGTTTATTCACCTCGGAGCATTTTTGTGTACTAATTTGCGCACTGAGTACAAATTTCTCCTGTAATAGTAATCAATGTTTACGTATGGAAATATCGATATCGATCATACATAGAAAAAGCATGCAGTAGCGATACTAGTGTTACGCGTGTTTTTGTCAGACTGAAATAAATATACTAATTTCGTAATGAGAGAAGGGGATCGGTTTCAAGAAGAGATCAACGCTTGCTGCATTTTTCTAAATTTATCTTTAATTTTCCACTATAACATGAACTCCGCGAGATAAAAATACTAATCAAATTTATATTACTCGTGTAAAGTTATACCATACCATCTTTCTTGTAATTAGACGTTCTGGATTTTTTTTTACGCCAATTGACACTATAACTTGCCATGATTAACATAACTACTTTTTTTTAAAAGAAAAGTCTTCTCGTCAAAGCATATATTCACAGATCGAACACTTAGTTTTTATTAAAACGATCTATGCAGATGCCTGGCTACACTTTACTGTCTTTCATTTTGTTAAAACGCTCTATGCAGATGCCTGGCTCAGGGCCGCCACATCTCCAAGCCGGGCCCGGGACCAGATTCCGGCCATGCCCCCCCACCCCCCACCCTTTATTTTTCGTCGCGCCACTTTTACTAGAGATGGCTATGATAATTGTTAAAAAAAACTATTAAACCTTCTCTAACTCTATTTCTAACCAAACAATAAATCATTTATATTTCCTACCAAGGTTCAGTGTTCGAATAACAACACTTGAGGGGGTTCAGCCCCCTCTCAGCCCCAGCCTCTTACATCACTACGTTTTATTCTACATTTAATTAAATAAATAAAAGAAATGGTAACTTAAGAATTGAAAATTTAAGTATTCATAATACCAACCAATTATTTAATTACCAACTAATTACAAAACCATAAAAATGCCATAAATTTGCATGAAACGAAAATTCTATATCCAATCACTCATAGGATTTTGTATTTTAACTACTTTAAATACAATTATTGGTGAATAGAGGGCGTATTCAGAGAAGTTCCAATTTACTCATTCCTCAAAGGTACGATTGTGGCAGAAATTATGATTGACTGAATTTTATATAATCATTAATCAACACACGTAACTAAATACAGGACCGGACCGGGCCAACAGTACCCACTTGCCCCCCCCCCCCCCCCATGTGGCTGTCCTGGCCTGGCTTTACTGTCTTTCATGCGGCATCTATTAGAGGTTATCTGTGATTTCTAACGAAGAAATAATTATTAGGTATTTTAAGAAATAAATAAGTTGTAATTAAAACATACACCATATCACTCAAGATGGCAAACTCTATCATGTCATGTCTAATGAAACAGGGGCCAGTCAATAGATTGATTAGTTGATTTCATGTGCAGAGCGGAATTATGTTTTACTCGTTATGTATATCGAGAGGTGGCGCTAGTGTTTAAATTTAATGATTTTGTTTTTTATTAATGAAATAATAAATATTTGTTTCTGAGGCATAATTGCAATAACTGAACCGATCTAAAAATGCATAGTAAAGAAAACTATCAATATAGAATTATTACAATAATGGTTGGAAAATTCTTTCACCAATATAAAGCTATATTATCAACGAGTTTATATTACTCGTCCAGCGGCTTCACTTGCGAAGCTTATATGATGTTAAGTGGGATAAAAAGTAGCTTGTATGTTAATTCAAGCTTAAAATTATTCGTTTTACCTTTTATCCCAATACATTCAGTAGTTTTTACGTGGAAGAGTAACAAACATATAAACTGATAATCTTTCGCCTATAAATTTATTAGTAGTATATAATATATACTTACATATCATAAACGTAAAATTTACAATAAATTTTAAACATAGTAACTAAAAAATGGTGTCAAATCGAATAAAACATGATCGTTTCACCTTAACATAATTAGGAATCACACATAATTATTTAATTAAGTTTTGCTCAATGATAAGGTGGAAACTACAGTACCTTATACCTATGTGTGTATACATTTACTCTTGTGATATATTCAATGCAGCTACACTTGATTGTGTACTTGTAACAAATAAATTTTAGTATTAGTTGTATATTAAATTGAAAATGTTTACTTTATGGATCTAACATTGGTTTAGGAATTACTTTATATATTTTGAAAATGTCAATTACAATAATAAACAATTTGAGGACCTACGTGGCCGAATGGTTTGTATGACGGTTTCAAGATGTTACATAATTCCATAATACAAATGCTGTAGCTACATAAATTGGAATAAATAAATGCATGGGATTGATTATGGTATATTGTATTCAAATTAAATTGGTATACCACCACATCAGAACCGGCTCAATGAAATTTGGCGCCGTAGGCAAAACACTGGACGTCACGACGCCCATAAAAAAACTACAACAAAATAAAATACTAATGTATATTAAAGAGCGTAGTTTTGCCAATCACATAAGAAACTAAGGAGTTTCTAATATTATGAAGCGTTGGTTTGTAGATGGGGGGGCTTGCTGATTTGTGTCTACACACTTTCTTTCTTTTATATATAAAGTACAAAGCGTATCCTATTTTCTACATAGCATATTAATCACTAGATTTATTAAATAAAAATTATTTTTTGTTAAAAGTAGTATCTAAGTAATGATAATATTATGTAAAATTCATAGGAACGTCCTACGAAGAGCGAGTGAACTGAGTGTGCGGAGTTTAGCGTTGTGCGTTCTAAACTCGTCAGAGTGTTCCTTCCCCGGAACCGCCGGCGCACATGTTGCGCTACGTAAGTATTACTCTTACGAATTAACATGACATCTTAAAGCCTGTAATACTATTTCCCCGAAAACAAAAATTCGTCTATTTTCGAAATGCTAATGCGACTCCAATGAATACAGTTAAAAAAAAATTTTGATGCATCGATGAAATGATTTAACACTGCATCTATTGCAAAGATAATTGTCACGGCTATGATTTTAACAAAATTATAAGAATTATTCGAAATATTCCGAATTTTTGTTTGATGGCAATACACTACATTGTACGAGTTATACATTCTCAAAAATCAATATCGGCGCTTTATGACTGATGCTTATGTAATGAATGAATGAAGGGATCTTTGCTTTGCTTATTTTTTTATTAACGGTCCTTCCTCCAATTTGGATGATGTAATAGTTACCTACATCACAAATTGGATGAAAAATGCAGTTCAGTTTCAAGTTCACAGACTTGCGTTTGGTGTGAACGCAGCCTTAATGGCCCATTTTTATTTCAGGCACGATTCGCAAACACTTGGAACAGCACAGACTACCACAGATGGTAATAGTGTGGTGTGGGAGCGAGACGGAACGATCTCTTTACACGTGCGTCGCGCCACGATACTTTCCTCTTACGGCGCGAGACCACGATAGACGTATACGCATCATACACAATCCGCATTCACACCATGCCTCCGGTAAGTCGAATACTTAACACTTTTATCGCGTTATTATATTTTGGATTCACAATGCTGTACTGAAATTATTATTATTAATGAAAAATGTTTAAAAAAATGCGAATTGTTTGCGAAAGGTCATGGGTTCGAGTGCCAGAGACAAAATGGATTTTTTAAGCATTTTTCTGTAATATATATGTAACAGTATAGGTTTGTGGATGCAAAATTGATCTAATATTATAATTAGAACAACTATTCATCCTTATCGAAAGTTTAAATATTTGTAAAAATATTTCTTTCGGATGTTTGGGTGGATTGCCTGAACATTGATGAAAAAACGTTCTGTAGTAGCGAAAAAGCAACAAGTGCTCGAAAAATTCATCAGTCCTCTTAGGTCCTGGGTAGCTTATCTTTTATCTAAGTATTTTTCATTAAAAATACCTTTATCCCACTCGGACAGTACCAAAGTACACTCTAAATGCGTCTAATAGCTCACATGATTTGAAATTAAGTCAAGTTTATAATAACTTCTTGTATTTATAAGTTGATTATCAACTTACTTGATTATTAACACATTTTACTTTGCAAATTATATGTTTTTGGACTTTCCTTTTAAAGGCTATTTAAATCTTTTCAGAGAAGGACCTCTGCATCATATACTGTTGTACACAAAATTCTTGTTTTTTTTTATAAATGGCATATTATTGAGGAACTTGCCAGAAACTTCTTTGACTATCCTTTATAGAAATGAGATTTTAATTATAAGCCATAGTTAACGCCTTGAGAGACTGATATTACAAAATAATATCAACATTATAAATGAACACTCACAATATCCCTTACCTATCTTTTCTCTTATAATGAGATATGCCGTTACCGAAATAATATTTCGAGTCGTCTTGACATCAAATGCAATATTTAGACATGAAACCGGAATCTCAAGTTGTCTATTATTTTAGATCGTATAAGACTGATATTAACGCGATAGATTTCGATACTTCTGAAGATGAGACGTAGCATCGCAGAAACAGTCAGCCCGTGATCACGGCCGGTCCAACCTGGTCGAAACATCGGGAAATATAGGTAGGTGAAAAACCTAACTATCGAAATCTATAGCGTTAATACCCGTCTTATACAATCTAATATAATGCAACGCGAAAGTTTATGTTGTCTATTATTATTATTTAGAAAATTTTGTCTGGTAGTTTCGGTGAAATTTATTATCTTATTATTTATTTATTCAATTCACAAAAAATGAGAATGTTCTGCTGGAATCTTATTTTATAGGTACATCTTAATAAATAAATATATAAATATCAATTTTAAATAAAATATTTTCTTTTTTATACGAGTATTTAACAAGTGTAATAATGCTTGTTAACTACACTCCAAATAATCTATGCAAAATTTTTAGCCTCTTTTATATAAGCATACACTGCAAGTTTATGAACTTTTTTATAACACATCTATGAATTCGAATGAAGTCTATTCTGTGCCTTAAAGGACTAGCATCACATGTGGTTTTGTGTACTGATATAATGAACATCCTCATTAAACATCCTTCATTTTTTAAATTTTGTTTTTTGTAAGGTTAGCCATAGCTAACTTTGGTAATATTCAAATAATGTATATTTGCCGCTCTTTACGTAGTGACCCTCCCACCTCATTTAGTTTGCAAAAGGCAGTAAAGGCGCTCGTGGGGTGTCTTTTGCACGTGGGTGGCGGTTTGATGAATCTTGTAATTTTTAGGATATGAAAACCTAGATTTTTTCACTTATGTATTTGACGTTTATAATGTTAGTTATATTATATTGGCCATGTTCCATAACACTACATATACATAAATACACCCAAATCTTGATTCTCAGTGAACCAGTAGAAAACGTTACACACTGAACCATTTTTCACTGTGTACTCATGTATGTATTATAATGTTATTATAAATATTTATAATGTTATTGTTTTTTTCTTCATGATATTAAATATTAAATTGGCATTGCAAGTTGTTGAAGAGGGTTTAAATTTAAACAAATAATTGGTTCAGTTTACCGTCTATATTGCACACTGAACAATTTAGACGAAAACTGAACCAATTTTTTGTTTAAATTTAAAAATTAATCGTTGGCATTTATTTTTTCATTTAAACTGTGATTTATTTATGTAATACCATAATACATATATTTTTTATTTTCAGTAAAAGGTTTGGAACTGATAAATTTATTCTTCTAAGTTGAAGTTCGCAGAAAACAATGTGGTTCAGTGTTCCACAGCTCTCCCTATTCATGTCCTTAAAGTAAGATTAATTGCTAAATATAGTTCATAGGAAAATGTTATTTTCATCGTCATCTGATTGTAAGTTCTGGAAAGATGACACGAAATTCTCATTAGAATAAAAATAGATATAATCAGTATTTTTTCAGATCAGCCATGCAATTGAATGGTGCCATTCTATTAAAGGGCTTGCCGCCTAATTGCATGGCTGATTTAACCACTTGACTGTGATATATACAATCTGTAACATAATTATATTCATTGCTTCATTGCTTTTATTGTGATTTGAGTAAAAAAATGCTCTTAAATGCTACGATACACATGTTCATAAACCAAAGAAAAAATAATTAATAAATAAAGAGAAAACTAATGTACCACAAATGAACATGACATATGTCAGCGACTTTGTATGATTTTTTATCGTAATTAAAGTTTATCGAAACAAACGTACAATAAATACATCAAAATGTTTAAGGGTTTGGTACAATGTGGTGATTCTGTGACACTATGCTCGCCGTGTGACATGTTATCGTAGGATTATGCTAGCCGCTACTATTATCAAGTAAGAATCATATTGACTGTACTTTAAAAGCACTTTGTATATCGAAACAATTCTATTTCGTGTTGAAGTATTATTAGTAGAGGTATTTTATTGTAGTCTTGTGCTGTAGGTAGAATCGGTGTTGCAATATATAAGTCGTATAGGCTAAGTCGTAATTTTAACGTCATTGGATTTGCAAGATGACCACACCGTTCCCCGGAAATAAGTATAACTTTATCCATACATAAACAATGTTAAGACATTGTTTTTTATTACAAATGCATTTCCTAATTAAGGTGTATTAGGATGTTCGTTATTTCTGTTATACGTTGCATACAGTAAAGTCTAAGAAAATCACCTCAGTATTTTTAAAACTGCTTCAAGGATTTTAATGTGTTTTCAACAACAGATAAGAGTGACTCAAGAGATCGATTTATGTGTATAATACAGGATCACGCAGGCGATGCTGCTGAAAGCTAGTCGTTTCGTCATAAGAAACATTCTTAAATAGCTAGTCTTGTACAAATTCTCACACAGACTGTCTAGTCTTCATTAACAGTAATATTAGGGAGAACTGTTAATGATTAATTTACTCTAAATATCGCTATTTACTGAGTACTTAATCATATATCTAATCAGATATGTACATAATTATCTCTTACATTATCTTCTCTATGTTATTTTGTAAAGCTGAAATTCGAATTTAAATTTACTAAGTAAATGTTTTCATGAATTGTCTAAACATTTCACCTTAAATATTGGACGCAGATTTCCTTCTTCTATCAAGTAAAAGAATATGTAATTATTCTTAATACAATTATCATCCTTCATCCTTAATTAATACAATCGCCCGGATTGCGAAAGGTCGTGGATTTGATTCCGATCTCAGTATGGAATTGTGAATGCAAAATTAATCAAAATATAATAAAAAGAATATGTATTCATCTCTAAGATCTAGTTAACTATCGTTCTATATGTACTGTATATAGATTATAAAATAGATATAGATTGAAAATTTCAAAAAGTCAAGATATAAGTTAAGTAGCTCGGTGGCGTAGTGGATAAGCTACGCTTAAGTAACTTTAGCAAGGGTCGATCACGGAATGAGTGACCAAAAAATTATTATCTCGAGCTACTTCCTGATTCTGAAGGCACGTTTAACCGTTGATACATTTGCGGTCGTTAATACCCTCCAATCCGCGTTGGGCCAGCGTGGAGGGTCATGTCATGGCCCATCCTTAACCATTCATAAGGAAGACCTGAGCCCCTGTGGTAGGATCGTAAAAGAGCTGATGATGATGATAAGTAATGAACATCTAACTTATGACTATAGGACGTATTATTTGACTCTTTCACTTGATGATTTAAATACAATATTTAAAGATTTATTACTAGTATAATTATTAACCTTGTAAACTTGTTTAAGATGTAGCCTATAAGAAATTAATTACTCTTATAAACCGTTATACAATAGAAATAAATTAATATTTCCATTATCACTTTGTATTTGTAATTTTTGTTTTCTTGTGGATTAAATTTATAAATGTATCTAAAAACTAAATAAAAATATAGTTAGTTGAACTCGCGCCCAGAAGGTTCCGCACAAATATTTAATATTATAAACTTTTTATAGATTTACCTACCTGTCACCTAAAGATATTTAATTCAATTTTATTTTAATCCCTTTAGTTTGAGAAGTAGATGGGGATGGTCAATTTTCGTCTATTTTATTTAATAATAATTAATGCAACCAACACATCTAATCTAGTGTATAAAATATTTTATATTTGGTCTAGTCTACATAAAGGTTGTAAAATAGAATTTATAAAATAATGTGTTACCAACATTATACCTAGAAAAGCATAAGGATATGATGTGTGCAAGGAGTACTTTTCGCAACGCTCCTTATCTCAGATAACAGAATAGAAGCAGGTTATCGAGTATTGACGCATTCAGTGTTATCGATTCCATGCCTGAATCGACTGGTGTCTACAAAAATAAAATTTATGTATGAATATGAATTGTGAAACGATGGCGGTGCAAAGCATTTCTTACAATTTGGAACTGAAACCACGTCCAACTGGTAGGTTATTTTTTTAAATATATACTTAATTTAAGCATAAAAACTAATTAAAAGAAATCAGTCTAACCTTGTGTTGAGTTAAGTCGTGCCTGTTCCTTATGGGGTAAAGACGATAGTCATCGAAGG